AAAAGTCATATGAAAATAATTGAAAAGTTTGTACTTTTATAGTAAAATTCATGTGGTGATGCTTTGTTATATTTGAACAAAAATTTAATTTTATAGCACATAATTGAGTAACATTCAAAAAATTAATGTGAAGATGGTTGACAAGTTTTGTATCTTTATATTAGGATGCATGTAGTGATATTTTGTTTTATTTTAAAAAAATTTAACTTCATATGGTACAGAATTGAGCAACTTCTAATAATTTCACATGAAACTATTTGAAAAGTTTGTACTTGTATAGTAGAATTCACATGATGCTGTTTTATTTTATTTGATCAAAAATTAATTTTATAATATATAATTAGATAACATCTAAAAAATTCATATGAAGACACTTGAAAAGTTTGTACCTTTATACTAAGATTTATGTGGTTATGTTTAATTTTATTTGAACAAAACTTTAACCTTATATATATATAATATATAATTGAGTAATGTCTAAACAAATTACGTGAAAATATTTGAAAAGTTTACACCTTTATAGTAGAATTCATGTGTTACTATTTTATATTATTTGAACAGAAATTTAACTTTATAGCATATCATTAGATAACATAGAAAAAATTCATGTGAAGATGGTTGAAAAGTTTATATCTTTATATTTGGATTTGGATTCACATGGTGATATTTTATTTTACTTAAACCAAACTTTAACATTATAAAGCATATAGTTTAGTAATATCCAAAAAAAATTGCATGAAAATGTTTGAAAAGTTCATACCTTTATAACAAAATTCATGAAATGATGTCTTGTTCTATTTAAAAAAAAATTTAACTTTATAGCGTATAATTAAGTAACATCTAAAAAATTAACATATAGATAGTCGAAAGTTTGTACTTTTATATCGAGATTGATGTGGTGATATTTTGTTTTTTCGAAAAAACTCTTTAAATTTATACAACATATAATTGACTAACGTTCAAAAAAGGTGATGTAAAAATGGTTGAAAAGTTTGTACTTTTATATCAAGATTGACATGGTGATATTTTGTTTTTTGAAAAGAAAAACCTTTGCATTTATATAACATATAATTGACTAATGTTCAAAAAATTTTATGTACAAATATTTAAATAGTTTGTACTTTTATAAAAAAAATTCACATGATATTATTTTATTTTATTTAAACAAAAATTTAACTTCATAGCATAAAATTGGCTAACGTCCAAAAATTTCATATGAAGATGGTTGATGAATTTGTATTTTGATATCAGGATTCACATGGTGATATTTTATTTTAATTTAAAAAAACTTTAATTTTATGTATCACATAATTGAGTAACATTCATAAAGGGTACATGAAATGTTTGAAAAGTTTATACTTTTATAACGAAGTTCACATCATGATATTTTGTTTTATTTCAACAAAAATATAACTTAATAGTGTATAATTGAATAATGTCTAAAAAATTTACATGAAGATGGTTGAAAAGTTTGTACCTTTATATGAAGATTTACGTGGTGATGTTTTGCTTTATTTGAACAAAACTTTATCT